GTTAGAACTGGCTATGGTAGCATACAACAGTCCTACACTAATCTGTCTGTGAGGTTAGCAGTCCGTCAACCAACTAATCAAAGGTACAAAAGACAATGTAGCAGATGTATGATTGATGGGTATGGTTGTGTAAACAGTTGAGCACCAATTGGAACCTACCCTCCCCTCAATCCAACCATCCGAACAGCATCATTGAGCAGGCAGTGTCTTCGTGTGCATTTCGGCCCACCCCTGTGCCCAAGTTGTCACCGAGCAAGCCAGCCCAACCACTCTTATTTGCCCTCGTACGGCGACGAGCCTTCCTGTTCATGTGATCTGGCTGATCAGGAGGAATTTATAGAGCGCCCCCATCTCTTCAGGAATTCTTTAACGTCGCAGTCAGGACGATGATCACAGCCAGATTCACAATGAACTCCCAACAAGAAATATTTATAGACGGTCTGGTAAGCGTCTGTCATGGGCTGGCATACCCGGAGCAACTTCTATCAGCGCAGCAAGTGCCAAACAGGACAGCAGCCATCGCATGCGTGTACTACTCCCTGTGGGTTGGCATGGTGACCGTGACCCAAGTGCTTCGACCAGGGCCCTTCAGAGGCACCGCCCTTTCTCCTTCCAGTATCCTTCCGGGAAGATTGTCGTCTGTCAAGGTAGCGCGCTCACGACACCTCACCAAAAGAGAAGACTTTCAAGTTGGACTCATTTCCTCACGGTAAGAAGAGATTGAGAGAGTAGATAAGGTAAGGGAACAACGTACCTGGAGATAGCTGCCCCCAACCACAGATTTCTCACCAATTGAGCTGATGTTGCATTTGATGACCGGTCATGACCTCNAGAGAGAGAGAGAGAGAGAGAGAGAGAGAGAGAGAGAGAGAGAGAGAGAGAGAGAGAGAGAGAGGGAGAAACGGGGGCATTTCAATGCATGCATGTGACTGTGTGTACAAACAGACGAACACAATCAAACCAACAACATCCAGATCGCTAGGGGGCAAGTCGCATGGGTAGGAAGAGGGCGATGAGGCGGAAGAGGAGAGGGGAGAAGAGAGAGGAGGAGGAGGTGGAGGAGGAGGAGGAGGAGGAGGAGGAGGAGAAGGCTGATGACGATGAGGAGAAACGAGACGAGGTGGAGGCCAAGGAGAAGTCACGAAAAACTTGACCATTGTCATCATTATCACCATCGTCATCATCATCACCTTTGTCATAATGATGATCCCGCCACCAGGGGGGAAAAGACGGTGGACTCGCTTATACCACGGAGGGTGGGATGGATCAAGAACACAGTGGGTGGGGTGACACATCCTCTGGCAGAGAGGTTCCATTCGTCTGGGAGGAAGGTCATGGAGGGAGGTCATGGAGGTGGGACAAAGGAAGATGCAATCTGCTGAGGATGAGAGTGGCTGGGGGGCATCAGGAGGATCAGATAACCTTCTGAATGACCGTGCAACGCTTCAATCAGTGGATCAATGGATCACCTAATAACTGGAGGTCCGTTCTGATCAATGCAGCTGTCGCGGGGTCCCTTCTCCATAACGGAGGGAGGGTGGAGTGTTTTTTTTTTTTTTTTTTTTCTTTCCCTTCCTCTAAAGAAAGGGTGATGGCCTTGAGATATCATCTCATCATTGATCTTGCCCCTAGGTAATTCAGAAGTATGTTTTTTTGTTAATTTGACTGCATCTGGATTTGAACTTGGTCTGTATTTCAACAGTTCATGGGTGTACTGACTGAGCTAGGCCCATTGATACATGGAGTGTATTGGCCTCACATTGCCTTCTTTTTTATAACACAAATGCTCCAGTGATAATCATAACCATTTGCACTCCCGATACTGTTTATAACTCGTGATTACGAAAAACAAAAACAGAAAACGAAAAAAAAAACAAAGACTGAAGAATCTCGAGAATGGCAATTGAGGATGTAAGAAAAAGTTGAAAACAAACAGCTGCAATCAGACTCGCATACTTCGTCACTTCACATGCATACAAACAGATGGTGAATCACTCTGGCGCATGGCGCCCAACTCAAAGTTCGAAGATATGGAAGTCAAGACACAGTTCAGATATAAGCTTGCTTCAACAGGCTATGGTGCATCAGCACCCACACATCGCAACTCTTATCTCTGTGTCCAACACCACTGTTCGCCTCACTCTTCAACTCCGGATCACCCTGGATACTCCACGCACACACACTGTATGCACACACATACACACCTAACACTAAGCTCTGGCAGCTATGGCCGCCACTAACTCTAACCTACAAGCGGCTATGGCTGCACTAACTCCTTCTAGCCCACTGCGACTTCAGGCTCCCCTGCAGACCGCCTCGCACAAGTCACCGTGGCAGCGCTTCCGCATGGCTTCCGCAAGAATGAATGAATGGCTATGCGCTCGCTGCCTCTTGATTTATACTTCTGTAACCCGTTGGTCTGCCTCTTTCCACTGGGCCCATGGTGCACACAGTCCCCCTTGGTACTTGCTGACTGTGCAAAGTGAGACTGGGACTGGGTACTGCTGACTAAGCGAGGTTGGGCACACCACTTGCCCACTTGCCTCTGGCCGTCTGTGTAAACGTGAGGGGAAACTCGAAAGGCCACTTCCGGACCTTCCGGAAGACCGTGGACTTGGCCTTTCAGTACTGTTGCAGCTACGACCTTGACCCTTCAGGACTGTAGCAGCTACGACCTTGACCCTTCAGAGGAGCTACAGCTACGACTTCTAGAACTCACTAAGACTCCTATCCAACAGGTCTACAGATCGAATCCCTATATCCACACAGTCCTACGACAGACAAACTACAACTCACGCAACACAGGTCACGGGTTCAAATACTCAGGCTCAGGGGTCAACTCGATACTGTACGTGGGTGAGGTAAGGTCTGGGGATCAAACCCCGGGATCTGCATCTGCCTCTGCAAAGGTGAAAACCGTTTCACAGCTGAGTAAGTAGCACACTGAGCACAGAATGTAACTTGCAAGAGACTGTAGAAGAACCAAATGTGTCACGTGGCAGATGGATATGGGCGAAGATAATTGATGTATTCATCTGCGACCTCATACAGAGAACGTAAACCCACAGAGGAAGACAGGGGGGGCGCAAACGACTTCCCTGAAGAAAACAGCCACCGTCCCTGCTCTTCCTTCACTTTGTCCATGCTCTCTCTCTCTCTCTCTCTCTCTCTCTCTCTCTCTCTCTCTCTCTCT